TTACATAATAATCCATTTGTAGGTGTGTAATTCATAAAATTCTTTAAAATTTTTTTATAAATGTTTTAAATTCAATAAATAACATAATATTTATTCACTTGTATAGAAATGCGTGCAATTAATTATGTTAATGATCCTCGAATAATATCGCAACAACCGAAAATGACAGCCATTAATTCTTGTATAGAAATGGATATTACTGGTCAAATATGTTCAGACAGTTTAGGCTGTAAATTGTATTCTGGATTTGGTGGTCAGCTTGATTTTATCCAAGGTGCAGCAATGGCTCAAGATGGTCGAGGAAAAGCTATAATCGCATTCCCTTCAGTAACGAGTAAAGGAGAAAGTAAAATTCAGCCTATAATTAAACTTGGTATGAAATAAAATTTTATATTATTTATAATTATATTTATAAAAAAAAATTTTAAAACAAAATAAATTTTTTAACATAAAAATATATTTTATATATAAATACAATTGAAGTCTTTTTAATAGGTGGTGGAATTGTGGTAACGAGAGCACATGCGCACTATATAGTTACTGAACATGGAATAGCAAATCTTTTTGGTAAAACATTACGTCAAAGAGCAAATGCATTAATTCAAATTGCTCATCCTGATCATAGAGAATGTCTTGAAAAAGCTGCATTTGAAAGACTTAAATCTAATCCAACAAAATATTTGTAATTTAGATATACAAGTAATATATTTCATAAAATTTGTAATATTGTAATATTACAAATTTTTTTTTCTTTCTTTATTTAATCTCATTATATGTGGAAAATAGTTCTTCATTTCAAAATGTTTTGATGTCAAAATTTTTTTATTATATATGTTTAATATATAAATTATATGTTTTTCTACATAAAAATGAATTATATATGTTTTTTCTACATAAAAATGTAAAAAGTCAAAGATTTAATAATGTTATATATAACATAATTGTTATCATTAAATTCATTTTTACTATTTATTATATACAATTTGAATAAATAATTATATTTCTAACTTTTATTTAAAAAACATATATGCAAAGCAAATTATTATCTATATACATGTAATTTCTATATATTTATTATATTTATTATAGATATAATGTATACTTAATATCATAATATTTTCTAAAAATTTATACCTTCTGGTAATGTTCCTTCTCGTCGTCTCTTTTCAACATTTTCATAATATTCAGAAAAATTAACATAAGACTTAATCCTAGTGTTTCTGTTTGTTGATTTTGCATTTGGATATATATCTGATGTTGATGAAGTTTCAGTTGTCGATAAATCGGAATTTTCTTCTGTAATTCCTGTACTTGAATAGTCATTTTCTGGCATTGTTATAATTGGAACAGATTCAACAATTGGATTAAATCTGACTGATTGATTAGTTGGACTTTTTAATGCATGAGGGAGCGGAAAATTAAAATTTCGTACAAGAAGAGTTATATCATCTCGTTTACCAGTAGTTACTGTACTTTGTAAATTACTCATATTAATATCATGATGAATTCTTACAACTTTATCTACAACAGCTTGAGCAACTCCTGTTAAAGTAGATTGTGCTTGAAACTGAAATTTATTTTAGAGAATATATTATTATATTATATAGAATATTAATATATTTGTGAAGCATTTTTAGAAGCTAAAATAAAAGACTTTATAAAAAAATTTAAAGCTTATTTATTAAGCTTTTTATAAGTACTTTAAGTTTGCATTAGATGAAATGAAATGGAGCCAAAAATAATAATGTGATAGAGATAGAATTATCTTATTCTATTTTCTATTCGTTTCCTATTCGCTTCATCTAAATTGATTTTCTCGTAAATTTTAGTTATTTATAATTTAATAAATAATTAATTGGTTTTTTTTATATCAATTTTTCTATTTATTTTAGCCTCTAAAATCGATCCTTCAAAAATATTTTATAAATATATATATAAGCTATTTTATTTGCAGATTATTTTTTTATTTATTCATTTTAAAAAATGTTTCATATAACTTAAACTTTCACAAATTTATTCTATTTATATTTTTATTTAGAAGAATATCACATGATAATCATAAATCATTTTTGGTGAACGTATTTTTAAAATGATCTTTATTTATACGAAATTAAATATATTTTTATATAAATTTATAGCTCATTTTAAAACGAATTCATTAAATTATAATACTTTAGTCTTTCAAAGTAATTCAAGGTAATTTATAATGCTATTTAAAAAATGCTTACTTTTTTTGTATCAGAAATTGTTTCTTATTTCTTATTTGTATTCAAAATAAATGTATTGATTTATTTTTTAAATAAAAGTTTGATATTTTTAAGTATTATTTTAATAATTTATAAATAGGTATTCATAATTCTATTCTTCATATTTTCATCATATTAGAATTTTTCTCCTAAAATTATATTTTTTATAAAGTTTCATAAGAAAAAATTTGTAAATATTAAATATATAATATATAATTTGATATCAAATGGAATGTTTTCTAGTTAATCAATCAATCTAGATAAGATTTAAATACAACAGATAAGGAACAATTTTTGGGTGACAAAAAAAAACAAAAATCAATTTTAAATAATATTAAATAATCTTGAATTATTCTGAATGAGACCAATATTGTAGAGTAATGAATTTATTTTGGAATGAATTATAGATTTATGATTATATTATTGGTATATTAATGGTTATAAATCTATTTATATAAAAATATATAATTTCATATAAAAAAATAAAGATCATCTTTTCAAAATTTTGAAAGCACATCCACTTAAAAATGATTATTGATTATCATAGAATATTTTCTTTTAAAAAAAAATAAGTTATTTGAAACAATATATAGTTTAGCAAATAATTGTATGCGAAACTTCAAATGAGATATTTTATATACAATTATTTCACATACCTCTTGAACTGCAAAGTTAATTAATTTTATATTAACTTGATCAATTCCAGTCACTTCTTCTAGTGACTTATATAAACCACGAGACATAAGCAATAAAAATTTGCAAGATTCATCAAGTTCTATTCCACCATGAATTTCTGGTTCAGCAATAACAGGTTCTGTTGTAGCAGATGCTAATTCTTCAAATTCTTTATATCCTCCTTTGACAAGATAATTTCCAAGACAACGTGTAGTTTCTTGATTTCCAAGACGAGATCCTTAAATATATATTATTATAAAATATTTTAATAAGAATAATATTAATTAATTAAATATGATTTTAAAACCTTGTCTTATGGAATCAATATCTAATTGCAAATGAGATAATCTTAATAATTCATCTTCATTTCTTAAATCATGATCAACACTTAGTTGTACAACTCTTAACACTTGATTGGTATCTGTCTTGCATAATAAAGCTCTACTATCGCCAACATTTGCAACATATAATCTTCCGCGATATATAAGAGCTACAACTGCACTAGTTCCTGCTGATAACTCACAATTCAATGCATTTAATTTATCAACCTATATAAAAACTTATAATATGATTAATTTTTAATATTAATAAAATTCATATTATATAGTATATCATAATATATTTATCTAACCAAGTGAGGAAATTTTTGATATGTTTCATAGGAATTTAATCCATCAGGTATATCAAATTGTAAACTAGTTCGTTCAGCCAAAAGATCTCCAATTGAATCAAAATATCCTCTTTCTACAGCTATAAATGCCTGTCTAAAATAATAAATTATATAATTTTACTTTTCTTATAATAATATATAAATGTTAATTTATAATTTTTATTTTTTACCATATTATTACCTAAGAACATCTTTAACTTCTTCATCTGTTGATTTACCATTTAATTGTCCAAGTAAAATTTCTGCAGCCATTCGCTGCATAGCAAAATTTGCAACTTTTGTACCTTCATGACCATCAAATACTCCATAAAGAAATGTCGAATCGTCATAACGACAATGAAAGCTACGATCTTCAAATGGATGTTCTTCTTGTCGATATCCATCCTCACGATAAATTTGATTTGTAGAAAATCCTACTCCTGATGAGATATTTAAAACATTAATCATTGATAGGTTATATATCTAAATTTTTACATACCTGATTGTTTACATACTGGCAAATCATCCGTCCAACTATATTGAGTATCCTGAAAAGGTATCAAATTAGGGCGTTCTGCCCTAGTTGGCATTGTTAAAGAAGAAGAAATAACTTTAACAAAAATTTCAATTGAAGTATATGTGAACTTACGTTTCTAACATATCGATTGTATATCGATTCATGTTGATTAAAGATATCGAAAATTTCGTAATAATCGATTGAAGTTATTTAAATTATATCAATATTTAAATAGCTGCATTTTCTTTACAATTTTTATCATCTATATTTATTGATCTATTTTCATTTATATATACATGTGTATAATATAGCAATATGTTTACATAACATACAAAATATAAAACAAAAATATATATTTATATAAAGAAAAGAATTTAAAAAAT